CACACACACACACACAACAGTTTTGATATCCAAGGCAGGAACCTGCTAGGGATTTAGCTTGGTGATAGAGTGCTTGCTTAGCATGTGTGAAGCCCTGGACCACTCCCCATTACTGGGGAGGGATGGTTAATAAAAAAGAATGAAACTACAACTATGGAATTTACCTAACAGGGTAGCCAAGATAGGAGGATTTCTGTTTGTTTGTTTATTTGAGACAAAACTTCACTGTGTGGCCCCAGCTGGCCTGGAACTCCCTATGTAGACCAAGCTGGCCTCAAACTCTTTTTAGAGATCCGCCTGCTTGTGCCTCCACAGTGCTAGGATTAAAGGTGTGAACCACTACGCCCAGCAAAAATGGGAATAGTTTTGAGGAAGAGGTTTCTTCTTGGATTGTCCCCAAGTGCTCAGGCTTCCAGAGAGATGGGTCTGCATAAGCTAATGGCAGGATAAAGCCTGGTCCTTTCCTTACTCCCCTCCCATGTACTCCTCAGCCTGTGTCCCTCCCAGCCCGTACCCAGAAGAAGCTCATGCCTGTGTTCAGACAGCCTTTCCTCCACTAGCGCACATGGTACCCTGATTGGAGAAGGTAGTACTGGCTGCCAGCATGTGTTGTAAACATTGCTTTCGGTTTTCTTCTGGAAGGCTTGGCACTGCAGGGTAGACAGTGTCAGTAGTGATGTTTCTGTATACCTGCAGGTTGTGTGTACTTTTACAAGTTTAAGTTAAGTTTAGCAGGGAAAGGAACACAAATTGGTAAACAGGTCACCGAGTAGCTCATTGAATTGTCATAGACCGAGCACATCTGGTGTCATGAATGCCCCAGGATCCCCTAGTCTGGTCAGTAGCAACCAGCTTGTGACAGTAGAGTGTAGCTTTGCTGCCTGGGGACTCTCTCTGGTGTTAGAAAGCATGTGCTCTCCTGTGTCTACCCCCTTGCTTTAATTGTCACTTACTGTACTGTGACAGGTCTTTCTTTATTTCCCTGGCTTGCTGTGTGAAGTTACTGCGGCATGTAGTTCTCTCCTGCTTGTAGTACAGAGCCGTTATGAATAGCGGGCCGTGGGCATTCTCGTGTATACACATTTCTGCTGATGCATACATAGAGGAATTTCTGGGACTCAGAATAGGCATGTGTCAGCTTCCCCAAGCACTGCCAGTTCCCAGAGCGGTTGGACAAGCTGACTGTCTCACTGCGAGGACAAACGGGACTTCTCTTTGCTCTGTGTCCTCACCAGCACTTGGACACAGGTTGAGGATCCCTTATGGAAATGCTCAGGTCCAGGAGCATTTCAGATTTCAGAGTCTTTGGATGTAGGGGTGTTTGCATAGACTTACCCTGTTGAGCCCTCTACATCTGAAATGATGTCCTTGATGCTCTGAAATCCCAGCGTTTTGAGCATCATCTCTCAAAAGCTTTCAGGTTTCAGATTTTGGATTTTTGGACTAGGGATGCCTCCGTGTGAGTTGCAGTTCTGGTGTCTGCTTTTCTCTGCAGTCTTTCTTCCATTTTCCCAATAAGCAGAGGGTTTGGGCTTTTCGTCTGTTCCTTGGTGATCTGTGTGTATCCTCACTATGCCTTGCTTGTTGGGGGCATTTCAAGATGGCCACTGAGTGGTCTGCCTTTTCTCCTTTGATCTTTAGGATCCTCTATGGACTACAGGCGTTGTCACTCTGGAGCGTGGTGGTGTGGGGTCTGATTCACATTAGCTTGAGAGAGCTGAGGGCAGCATCTCTAACTCTGCTTTGGTGACATCATGGTGGGAGCCTGAGATCCATAGTGGGAGGTGGAACTGGTTAACCAGCACACAGTACACAACTGCTCCGCAGACCGCCCGCCTAGCCTCTGGATCGCCTTCACGCTCTAGCAGGCTTAGTCTTAATCCATGCTGCTCTGTCAAGAGTTTCCTTTTGTGATTAGCTCCTCCCTGTCATATTTAAGACGTCTTTTCCACCTCCTCCGTGTTTCTCTGTAGAACTGGTTAATCATGATCCTTTTCAACATCACCCACTTTGACTATTCCTCTACTGATGCATCCCTGTGTACACCTGAGTCTTTTCCACCTCCTCCGTGTTTCTCTGTAGAACTGGTTAATCATGATCATTTTCGACATCACCCACTTTGACTATTCCTCTACTGATGCATCCCTGTGTACACCTGTGAAGGTTGCTCACAGGGATTTAAGTAGGGGCTTAAATCTAGCTTTTCCTCCCCTCTGTAAGCCATAGCTGGGGCAGGGCTGCATTCCTCAGAGAATGGGACACCTTCTTGGGGTTCCCACAAAGGCACTCTGTAGGTGAGTGGTAGCCCTGGTTCTCTGAGACGTTAGGCCCAGGCTGCCTTTCCCATTCCTACCTCATCCTTTGCTGTCTCTGTTTACTTTCATGGGGTCTCATTTCTGCCTGGCCAAATCTGTGCAGCAGAGTTAACCCCACCCCCTCTAGGCTCCTGCCACTTGCCTGCCTTATTCTAGGATTCCAGCATCCTTCTGTTTCCCACCACGCTTGACTCCCAGAAATGCGATGAATACAGGAGCCTGCACACCTCAGGGATCTTTGCAATCCTGTTCTGATGGTCATAGTACCCACCTTGCCAGAGTGCCCTGGCCCCAACACTCAGGAATCTCCTGCCTGCTTTCCACTCTGCCCCTGTATATGGCAGCAGCTTGCTTTGCACAGTCCCGTCAGCAGCCTCTGCACACATCAGCTATTATGTCTGAAGAGCGAGTATTTTCCAAGTAATCGGTTCATGCAGACTGCACATAAATCATGTGCGCTCCAGCCCTTGGACACTAATGTTCCCTTATTAAGGCATAAGCCAGCCTTCCGGTTCCCATCCATTCTCTCTGACTTCTTTTTTAATTACTGCAGAGTCGGGCCTGGTTGTTGCTGCACCCCCCATCTCCTTCCAGCCCCTGCCCCATGCACTCATTGCTTTTTTTTGAAGTTCAGTTTGTTTTTCTGGAACTTGCCAAATCGCCTTAGGAAACTGGGTACCCTGTGAATGGATTGGTGAGAGGAAATCCTTATCTCTGGAGGAAACAGGCCCTGCATTTGTGTGTATGTGATATTCTTGGCCAGTTTGTATTTGGGGGAAACACATTCCCTTGGCAGCCTGGTGCCCCAGAAAGGAGGGCAGTATCACCCATGCCCAGGGCACAAGAGGAACCTACCTTCCCCTTTGTGAATATCATTTCTGCCCAAACAGAAAACCTTCACTGGCTTCAATCTTGGGAGAGTCCTAGCCTCTTTTATTATGTTCCCTTTTCTCCATTCTCTTTGCAAGCCGAGCCCACCAATCCTCCTCTAACAGGCATGGATTCTGCTCCTGGCTGGCCCTGATTTTATATTCTGTTCCACACTGGAAGAGTGGGGAAGTGCGTGGTTGTTTCCTGCCATTTGGCCTGAAATAGAAGAGATGGGGGACTTTAAGACAAGGCCCAACACCATCTACTTTTTGAGATGCTTGAATATAAATTACTATCTAAATAATTACTGTTGAGGGTAGAAAGGATGCCAGCGTTTAGAGACTGTAACAACAACTCCCTATGCTCCCTTAGCGACCACGTGGTAAGGTGACATGCCTCTTGCTTTCCTGTAGATGGGCACAGTGCTGCTTTTTAGGCCCCATTTTTAAATCATGTTTATAGATGATAGTGGAGCAAGCTATTTTGAGGCACTATTTTCCTCAGATGGGGAAAATGATATAAAGCAGAGATACTTTGTGGGGTCACCAGGCCCTCCCAGGATGGCTGGTAATGATGTCCTCACAGGTGATGACAGCCTGGTCCCCTGTGTTCAAGGCCCATAGTAAATCATACTGTGAGTTCCTGGGCGCTGAGGTCTTTGATGTAGCCCTCAGGAAAATGGGGATCTTTGATGATATGGTGTTTCAAAATAAAATTTCTGACAAAACAAAAACAACCCCCCCCCTTTTTTTTAACAGCTGCCAAAATGGGTTGTGGGTTGAACAAGTTGGAGAAGCGGGAGGAGAAGCGGCCTGGGAACATTTACTCGACTCTGAAGAGACCTCAGGTGGAGACCAAGGTGGATGTGGCCTATGAGTACCGCTTCCTGGAGTTCACCACGCTGACTGCCGGTGAGTACACCACCCTGTTGCCCTGTCGCCAGGAGGGTGTCTGGCTGGGACACAGGGTCCAGTGAGGCCAGTATAAAGAGGACAATTTAGAGAGCCAGACTTCCTTATAAAGCCTCTTATTCTTTACTACAGAGCGACTAATTAAAATGACAGCACCTGGGTGAGGTGGCCTTCGCCTGTCATGCCAGCACTTGGGAGATAGAGGCAGGGGAATTGAGAACTCCAGGCCAGCCTGGGCTACATAGTAAGGCACAGTCTCAGAAAAAAAGAATATTATCCAATCAGCCAGTCAATTACAAAAGTGAAGCCTTGCGTAAGCAAGCAATCCATGTGGACAGACTGAACTTGGCACATGGATCAGGTACTCTGCATACTCTGGTAGCCAGCCCCATGGAGGAAGGTTTCTCCTGTCTCTCATGTTAATCTGCCTGGTCTCTCAAGTTCATTTGCCTGTCATCACCTTCTTGTCCATCTGGGCTTGGCTTTGCCTCCTCTGATGGATGGAGTCTGGGTCAGTCTTTATGACCAGTGCTCAAGGTTGGAGGGGGACAGGTCATGGCCCTGGAATGACTGACAAGGGATGCTCAAGTTATCAGGGCAGAGTGTGTGCTGTGGACCTACTGTGTGTGCTAAGCATCTACTGCATACCTTTGGGCTAGTGCTTCAGGAAGTCATGAGGCTTGTCCTGGTGGAGAGAGGAGCTAAGTGCTGGGGTAAGGAGCTCAGCAGGTTCCAGTTGTAAACTGAATGGTGTGCATGTCAGGAAGTTAGGAGCATCCACCAGCACTTTCCACAAAGGCCTCTTCAGACCCAGGTGCCTGGAGGATGTTTAGACTTCTGTGAACATGAAGGAGCGTGAGTGGGGAAAGCCCTCACACTCTCAGGGTTGACCCAGGCTCGGTTTGGGAATGGTAAATCACCAGGCCTCTTGGGCTTGCAGCACCCCAGTCCATAAAGTGAGTATGGGTATCCCTGCCATGGGGGTCCGTGATGATTAAAAATGAAATAAAATATGTGAAGTTCTTAGTATAAGATCTGGTGCATAGTAGGGGCTGTTGGTACTCCTTTCTCCCATTCCTCCTTACCCCCCCTTTCCCCCCCACTTCCTCCTCACAGCTCTTCTCATTCTCCCCACCAGGCCTAGGTCTCAGTGTTTCTGGAGTCTCAAGTAACATGGGCAGCTGGGCTTCTGAGGAACCTCTGTATCTCCTCCATGTCATCCAACCCAAATCCAGCGCCTTCTGTATGCAATTTCTTCCTTCCTTGTGCCCTTTAGACTAGTGTCCCCACCTCCTGACACAGGCAGACAGGCACATGGTCACCTGTGCCATGGCTTTTTCTCACCCACAGTTCCTGTTCCCTTCACCAGCCTGTTCAAACCCATCTCATGCTTCTCATAGTGATGGCTCAAACCTGCCATGTCATCCATAGCCTCCTATGTTGCATGCTTGACCCCCCCCCAACTGGTGGCACTATTTGGGAGGTAGTGGACACTTTAGGGAGTGACGTCTGGCTGGAGGGGAGTGATCACTGAGTGTGCCTCTGAAGGTGACACTTGGCTTTATTTGCATCCCCTCTCTGTCCTGTGCATGAGCTATATGAGTAGCCTCTGCCATTTGCTCCACCTGCCACGGGATCTTACCTTACCACAGGCCCAGAACCATTGGAGCCAAGGATAGTGAACTGAACTCTCTGAAAGAAATTCTTCCTCTCCCTAAGCTGTGTATGTCAGGTATTTGCCCCAGTGGTACAAAGTCTGATGGATACACTTATAGCTAATGTTACACATGGATATTTGGGCATTTGATTATCCATCTGTTTGTTCAGAGGCTATCTGGGTGACTATAATAGGCTGAGTAAAGGTGGTTAAGGAAAAAAAGAAAGCAGATCTAGGTGGAAACGCCTTGAGCTGTTTGGTGCTGATGCTGAGGGGATAGGAAGTCTTTTTCTCTTTTGTAGTTTTTGCATCTTGGTCATGTATTTGTTTTTTTGTTTGGGTTTTTTGGGGAGGGTTGGTTTTTTGAGACAGGGTCTCCCAGTAGCCTCAGCTGGCCTGGTACTTGCCATGGAGACCAGGCTGGCCTTGATCTCGCAGAGATCTGCTTGCTTCTGCCTCCCAAGTGCTGGGACTAAAGGCATGTGCCACCATGCCTGACTCTTGGTCATGTTTTTTATGATTATGAAGAGTAGTCAGTCAAGAGTTCGGGGGTCACACCTGAAAACCCAGCACTGGGAAGGCTGAGGTGGGAGGACAGCTGAGAGTTCCATGCTAGCTTGGGCTACATAATGAATATTGGACCTTTTTTTTTTTTTTTTTTAAAAAAAAGAGTAATGAGGATTGACTATGAGCAAATCCATGATATACATCTATGAAAATGTCATCATGAAACCCATTATTTTTTACACTAGTTTTTAAAAAGCTGTTCAGCTTAAGAGACCATGATCTGCAGTAAATTGTGAGCAAGACTAACCAGTTCTGCCAAGAGAAGAGACTATCCTCCCTCCTCAAAAGGGTCTGGTAGATGGCTCAGGGGGTAAAGGCACGTGCCTCCAAGCCTGACAACCTGAATTTGATTTGATCTCTGGGATCCCACATGATGGAAGGAGAGAATTGACTTCTGCAAGTTGTCCTCTGACCTCCAAACACATGTGCCCCCCCCCAAATAAATTTTTTAAAAAGAGAAGAAGAATATGTTAACACCCCAACTTCATTTTGATAAATTCTACTTCCCATTGTACCAAGTCATTTACAGATGTGTGGCTGAGAAGATCCATTATGTGATAAAGTTGCCCTTCTCTGTCCTAGGCTTTTAGTAATGGGTCATTGTGATGGTTAACCTTGATTATCCTTTTGGATGGAGAAGTGCTTAGGAGACAGTCAAGCACATTTCTGGGTGTGTTCTGGGAAGGCATTTCCAGAGAGGATTACTAACAGGGAAAGACCCACCGTGAAAGTGCATGGCACCATCCCATGGGCTGGGAATCTGGGCAGAATGAAAGAGGAAAGAAAAGAAGACCAGAGAGTGTAGTCTCAGTCTCTCTGTCTCTGTCTGTGTGTCTCTGTCTCTCTCTGTCTCTCTCTGTCTCTCTCTCTCTCTCCACGGCTTTCTGGCATTATGCTTTCCTTGCTGGGTTTACCTTTTGCTAAAATGAACTCATGCCCATTTTCAAAAGCTAGGACGATCCAGACTTCTGTTCTCCTGCCTTGTCCTTGTACAGAGTGTGTTGCTCCTCTGGCCAGAGCCCTCCTGTGAGCTCCATCTCTCCCCAGATGTCACCAGTTCCCTCTAACCTCCTTCTCTTGTCCATCTTTCCACTGCTTTGGCCTTTCTCTTTCTGGAATCCCCACCCCCGGGCTTCCTCAGGCCTCTTCCTCTCCTTTGAAGAAACTCTCTTCAGAGAGGCCGTGCCTCCTCATTCCTCCCTTCCCCCTTCCCATCTGTGGTCTCACTGTATAGCCCAGGCTGACCTAGAGCTCTCAGTCCTCTTGCTTCAGCTCCCTGACCTGAGTGCTGGGATCACAGGTGAGCACCACCATACCTGGCTAGTACCGTCTTATTTATTCATTTTATGTGCATGTGTTTTGCCTGCATGTATGTAAGTACATCATGTGCATTCAATGTCTGGCGGCCAGAAGAGGGTGTAAGATCCCCTGGAACTGGAGTTACAGGTGGTTATCAGCCACCATATGGATGCTGGGAACCAAACCTGGGTCCTCTGCAATAGCCCCATGTCCCATCTTTTTAACCTCTTGTCTCTAAGTCCTTTCTGATGCTGGTTTGAAATGTCTCCCTCCTCTGCACCCTCTGGATTTCCTCCATAGTCCTCTTACCAGCCAAGGTGCTGCATATTTACATTGCTGTTCGTTTCCTTTCTACTCTCTGCCTGCCTGCTTTCCTTACAGGGTAGAACTCCTTGATGTAGGTATGGGGATCCTGTCTGCTTTCTGTAGTGCCCTCTGTGTTAGGGCGGTATCTGGCCCATAATAGACAATTAATAAATATTTGAGGAATGAAGGCTCAACCAATGTGTATTTTTGCATCTTGCTCTAATGCAGCTTAACATTGCAGAATGAGGCGTGCACCCTGCCATCCCTTCGCTCTGAAAGCATGATTTAATGGCTCTATATGATTTAATCACTCGGTGTGCTATAATTTATCTAGCAGGCCCCTTTTATTGGACATTTAAGTTATCTTGGGCTCTGGGCTATTATAAATTTTTAGTGTTGTGATAAGCGCTGTTGTGCATAAATCTTTGTGTACATTTCTGATTTCCTCAGGAATTGGTAAGTTGAAGGATATGGATGTCAGGATGCTTGATAAATGACCAGCTTTACCTCTAGACACGGCCTGCTTGTATAGGACACACATCCGACCAGGCTCCACTCTTTGGCAGGTTCCTCTGCACAGATGAAGGTGAGGGCTCAGCTGGTACTCAGGGCTATTTCTTACCTGGTCTTACCTTTGTGGACTCTCCCTCTGGCCCACAGAGGACTGTGTCCATGGCTGGAGTGTAGCCTGCTCCCTCAGACCCTCCTTTCCCAGCTTTTCCTCTCCTGCTCAGGCCCTGCTGCCAGGCTCCTGCCCAGCTGGAATGGTCCCTTCTCCACATCCATGCCTTTCGAGTACCGCCTTCTGCAGGCCTGTGATCTGTCGGTTCATCCTACACGCTTACTCCATCACATGCTGAGCCTGTTGTGCTTTCTTCAGGGTGAAGACTAGGCCTTGCTTGTCATCTTGTTCACTGAGAGGAACTTGTCCAAGCTGGTCAGGTCCCTGGGAGTCAGGATGACGCACACTCACTCCAGCATCTCCAGCTGTTCTGGAGGCCCTCCCCACTCTCAAGAAAGAGATAAGATTTGTTGAAAGCCTCCTGTGCGCTAAGTCCTGGGAGAACACTCCTAGTCCTGCCCCTCTTTCCCCTCATTTTTCCACTGTATCAGAGAGGAACTAAGTTGCATTTTATCCCATGTGTTTCAAGTCTTCAGACCCATGAAATAT